AGAAACTTCTCTCTAGAAAGTTCTAAGGAATATGTCCCTAACATACATGTATTTTATCAAAATTACTAGATAATAATTTATATTAAATTAAATTCTAAAAAATTATTTTTTATAACTAAAAATATATATAATATGTAATTATATATATATATATATTTAAAAATATTAAATTTATTTTTTTATAATTTAATTTATATAATGTTTTTATAATTTAATTTATACACATTTATATTTTGATGTTATTACCAAATTTTGAATAATTTCTAATAATTTAACTCTCATTTAGTCTTTTATAAGTCAAAGATTATCAAAAGAGATGTATAAATTTTATTATTATATTAAATATATAAATATATAAATATATATTCAAAATAATTAATATTAGTAATTTATTTGAATTTGTAACCAATCAATAAATATGACTAAAACTAGTTAATGTAAAATCCACAAAATGGTGGTAAAAAAGTACATTTATTGTTAAATATAAAAACATAATATCATTTTTGAAAATCACTGTTATTATTATAAATAAATAACAGGTGATTATATTTATAAAATTTGAAGTAATAGATAAATAATATTACTACAAAATCCCTAAACAGTAAAATTTAAACTAAAATTTTAAATCAAGAAATAATGTTATGTAAAACATAATATTGGTAAACATTGCTTTTAATGTCAAAAGTCAGTAACATTGCAATCACACTAACATATCACTTTGAACAAAAATTCACTAAAATAACCCTAACAGAAATACACTATCTTAGTTCACACCTCAAACAAAACATAATCCAAAATAAAGTACTCAACTAATCTACTCCATTTTATTTTATTACATATGTAGTCCCCTAAATCTTTTTTTAGCTTTTCAACAATCTTATTTTCATCCTTGCAAGGCACGTTTTTACTCATAATATAAAACTTCAATCAAAGTTACAACCCAGACTGAACCCTTGATATTCAAATTCAGTATATTAAAATTCTTGATAGTGTTATTTTCATTCTAACGAAGTTATCCCAATCCCTCTATCTATTTAAGAATGTGCTACACAAGCACTTTGTAAGATCAAAAGAAAGTCTCATTTGGAAGTGATTCTTATGATGCCATTCAATCTGTGACTAATCGATACAAACCCTGCCGAAGGTCCTGGCGGACCCACACAATCAACTGTTCATCTAGCATACTTGCAAGTCGGAATGGTGATAAGGCTCAAGTTGGATCTGTGATCAGGTTGACGAAACAAGTTTCACCGAGATCTAGACATGGAGATCTATCTTTTAATCAAACATGCATTTTTCGTGTTGCTCCTGCTGCTTCTTGCGAAGACCTCGTGTCTATTACGAAACCCAAACAGGAGAAACAGACTGGAAATCTGTAAGTTCGGTGTAGCGGATGTTTGTAGTGATCCTTGTGCACATCCAACTTAAATGCATTCAGGTGATGGAGTTGACGAGATTGTGGACTCGATTCTAGACTCCAAGTTGGTTTGTTGTGGATTGGCATGACTTGCGGAGGAGGAAAAAGGATATTCATGTCCAAACAAAAAGTCCTTGCCACATGAATCCTCCATACATTCTGGGCCCCGTCAGTCTCCTCTTACTAGAGGTACCTGGACCATGGACGTCTCTATCTTCTCTTTTACCAAAAGGAATACAAACAGTTTGACCAAATACAGAATTCCGAGTTAGTTTCCATTACATATTCGTGTGGAAATATTTTCTCGATGATTGGGATGGTTATTGCATTAAAAAGGATGGCACTGGTTGCAAAAGAATGAAATCTCTCTTTTTATTTCAGTGGCACCTGGATCGTGGTTTTCATGTCTCGGGACAGAGTATTGAATTTGCTGCTACACTGCAATGTGATTTGTGATGCCTTTGGGGTGTTCACTTTTGTGATCACAGCCTGTAGTCTTGTCTTGTATATTGCGCGTCTTTGTTAGTTTCAATAAGGCCACACTCTTGTTCTGTATTTCGAAACCGCTGAAATTGGACAACAAGTTGTAGAGTGTACAACTACAAATCACAGTACAGGCAAGAATCATTCAGAATAGAATACAAAAAGATTATAATTGGGCGCAATTCGAAGTTTCATGATGAAATACTGCTTGTTTGTCGATCCATACACTTCAGTGTGATACGAACCAAATGATGATGGATGATTGACTTACATCACCAGCATTCGAGATACAGGGATTCAATCAATGCGTTTCGCTTGTAAATCCTGGACTAGCCAACCTCAAACCTTAAAGCACTTAACAATATACTTAAACGCCCTCAAGCCCTAAAAAATTCCCGTCTTGCTTTTAAATCATACACACCCAGCATTGCAAGACAATCGAGCTTAACATGAGCATTTCAGAAAACGCTCTTTGAACGAGAGCCCACATCCTCAAGGCGAAGACGATTAACTATTTTAATGCTTGGGGTGATTTTGAGCTCACAATGGAAGCTAAAGATTGTGGTCGAAGAGTGGGTGGCCAAGCAAGTGGACCACGATACAGCAGGAACTTTCCATAGGACAGCTAAACTCTCCTGCATTGTTCCTACTTCTCATATCTAACACGAAGTTTCGGAAGAAACCAGCACAGAAGATCCACAACGTAGGCTTAATCAAACGATTGACCTCGATGGCGCTGCAGTTTTAGTGGATAGACAATGGTGAGAGGCAAGTACTGAACACCTAATTCTCAGATCCAACTTTGACAACCCTCACTGTTCCGACGTTGATGTCAGTTCATCGGCACGATACAAATGAAGTGGGTGATCAATAAGTGATGTGGGTCGGGGTCATGGTCCCTGACATGTGAGCCAGCAGTTCTCGCAGAGTCCTTATTGATGACTTTAACTTCTCCCAGTGGTACTAGTCATCGTGCTTCCCATCCCAAGCCCAAGAGTGCTCTTCCACCATGTTGTGGCACACAACATTCTCATCCTGGAAAGGTTCAAGAAGAAGAAGTCTGTAGCAATGCATGGAATCATGTGAATATTCTGTCTCAGTTGAGCATTCATCTAGTGTCCCACGACTCAGTTCCTGACATCAACACACATGTCGAACAGCCTCAATCTTGTGACTGAAACCACTCGTGCATCCTCACAAACCATTGTGGGTCACACATCTTAAGTCTTGGTTTTTTTTATTTTTTTTATTTTAATGCTGGTGAAACAGTCTGATATGTGTGGCTGAAGGCTGTTAGGGTAACCTCATTAGTAAACCTGGCTGAAATGAGAGTTAACTTAAGACGAGCCCATCTCTTCACTCCTTTATGCCATGTACTGATCCATTTTCGTTCCTTCAGACTATCTAGTCACTTCCGATGGTCAAGTTCCGTTCTTAAGAATCTTTGCCATGCATGCAAAAATAAACACGCCGACCGCATGATTCATTTCTCCCCACCATTCGCTCAATATCTGAGCACTCCACGGTTCATGGCTAGATTGTGTTCCTCCGTCCATGCAATTTCCTGCTGAGAGTTTTATCTGCCACCTCCATTCCCGCAACACATCGGTTTTTACCATCAATAATTGGGTTGGTGGAATTTGCCCTGTTTGCGCCGATGTATTTACAACTCCGTAATCTATTTTCAAGTTTATGGCGATTGATTTCCATGATCGATACCTGTTAAACTTTGTTTTTGGAGGGAAACCGGACCATACAGCTTTGCGGTGCTGTCTGCGAGGGAGCAAATGCGCGTTGGTGCCAGCCTTTGACAGTAAATTTCCTGGCGCAACACACGCTGCCTGACTGATTAACTTCACGCTGAAAGTCAGTTCTTAAGCTGAGCATTCCAACGCTCACCTCAGCATCATTTTCTCTCCAAATCTGCCAACCTGACTTGATCCAAGTCAAAGAGGCTGCGAAGCCCATAATACCTATTCTGACGTGCACTTCCCTCACTGAACTCATTGGCTTCCCTCGATTCCTCCGCGGAGCCCTGCGTGTGTCAGGGACATCTGCCACGAAAACGAAATACCAGCTTCTGAAGTCCTAAACCATCAAGTTTCAGCTTTGAAATTGTGGGAAAGAATGAAAGAGTCACATGATGCGAATGGTGCTGCTAAATCGATTAACTGTACGTGGTAGGTTAATTTCTTCCATTCCCTTTTTTTTCTATTTTTTTTCATCTGATTTTTCTATCTTTCTTTAGGATTTTTTTTGCATGTAGTTAGATCTGTACTCCAGGAAACTTATGTGAATGAAAGAGTTGGCACCTGAGAATCCAGAACAGTTGGGACACACCAAGAGCCTCTGCAGGTCCTTGTGACGCTCAAAATCCACACAGACAGCGGAGAACAGTAAATGCTTGTTCAGTTTCAGACGTACAGACATGCATGTGGTGCCACTATGGCAGCACATGGTACCTGCGGCGTACAAGATACTCATCCCTCCATTTGCTCCAACAATTTATAGTCTCCATGTTTCAGGTTTTTTTTGTTTTTGTAAAAAAGACTTCTTCGTCATCAAATGGTGGGGAAAATCAGAGAGGGACATTTTAATTGATATATTTTTTCTTTTATAAAAAAAGGCGCTTAAATCAAACCAGTGTGATGCACACGGAATTATGGGTGGCAGAAGCTAAGCAGGCTTTCCATTTTTGCGGTAAACACTGCGGGAATTATTGTACCTGCAATGGCTCTTTGCAAGTTATGAGGAATTGGAACCCCTGGTCAGTGTAATGGCAACCAAGTAACCTGGGACTGTGCTTTGAATACCTCCCACAAACCATGCAGAGATTAAAAGAAACGAACATAGAAAATTGGGTAAAGAAGGGGAGGAAGGAAGAGGGGGAAAAAAACAGTCATGTATACATATGTATAAAATATTAAAAAAAAGAGTCTTTGTCCATGTCAGTGATCCTACATTTATTTCTGTATGAAGTCATGATTTTCTCAGCTTGCTGCAGGAAACTGGACGGAGCCAGGGACAGATCATCTCCATCGCCGTTGCCCCATTCACATCGTGGTGGCCATCGTAAGACTCGGCAACGCAAGCTCCGTTGCCTTGTGCAGCTGGATGCACAGCCATGTGAGGGGCCATGGCACCATCGGGCATTTCTGCCAGACGGTTTGCGTTGGACAGGATGGATCCTTCAAAGCTTGTCAGTTATCAAGTTACCAGTCAGCTTTTGCTGCATCCTCAAGAATTATATTGTTTCGCGCGCTCTCCCTCTCTGTGTCTCTCTGCTCCCATTCTCCCCCTTGCAAATCATTAGGGCTTATAAAAGCCATTGCCATAGAACAGCAGGTTCGTGGAGTTCCGCCAATTTGTGGAAATCAGAGCCTCCATTTAGCGGCATCCTTTTCTGATTGTTGGTCACCTTTCTGTACAAGAAGTAGCTTCATGTTTCTCCCATGTCCACGTGATTCCAGCTGCGAAGACTATGTGTTTGATACGTCGATCTTCTAGAGTGTTGATTCTATTCGCATCATCGCATATGTTCCTGATTCTTTGCGTTCTTTCTCGGAACAAGTTGATTTCTCTTTGAGTTACCGGTGAGGATCGGTGTTCGAGTGACGCGCTCGTAGCTCCAATAGTAGGGGAGAGTTTGTTTTGCAATGTTCCACTTGGTATCTCTAATTTTCTGCAAATGTCTGACCGTTTGCAGTTAGAGCTAAGGTTTTAACCGGCTGTGATTGATTGTGAACGTGATTTAGCTCTGGATGCTTTAAATATACATGAAGCCTGGTAGAGTTTGCGTTGTATGATTTAACAGCGGTGATAAGAGTTGTCCAGAGCCATTTTGGAGAGGCATCATGACACTAGAGGAAGCAATGCAGGGGATGAAGAACCCATCGAGAAAGAAGAAATTAGGAGGATGCATTATTCTTGGATGTATCATACTCATAATTGTTCTTGCGGTTGTAATCTCCCAAGTGACCAAGAAGGGGAAGCAAAACGTTAATGGGTTTGACAAAGATTTTAGCATTACTTGGGCAAAGAACCACACACGAATCTCACACCATGGAGAGAGACTCGAGCTCATCCTTGACGCGGAATCTGGTATGTTATCCATTTCTATGAGTAAACATGTGTTGCAAATCCCAATTCCGATTGAATTCATTTTTTTTTTCTCGTATGGCCTTGACTGAGTTTGCAGTGATAATCCTTGAATCCATAAGATCTCGCGGTATAAATATGTTTTTCTATTAGGGTTGTGCTGGTTTAGTGTCGTTGGTGTTCACTGCTCGGGTCCAATTATTCTTTCATGGACCTCGCCTCTAATAAAAGCCGGAAACCTTTGCCTGACTGATTGACAACTAAATGGATGAAAGATCATTTAGTTTAAAACTGGTTCTGGGATTGAATCCAGACCGTTTCATTGCGCACAACTTGTGTCATCACGTTGAAGCGCGTGTGACCATTGCGCAGGTTCGGGATTCAAATCAAACGATTTGTTTCTATTTGGGAGCATTAAAATGGACATCAAGCTCGTACCGGCTGACTCTGCAGGCACAGTCACTGCATACTATGTAGGTCTTTACGATTTCACACACCTAAAAATGTTTGCTTTTACACAAAACGAGTGACGAGAATTCCAGTAATTTAATTAATTGTATTCCTGCTGTTACGCCTTCGGCAACGTAGGCACATCCTATTACTTGAATTTCTGAATTAGTTCACAGAATGGTCCCTACTACCTGAGTCGTTTGCAAAATATTAGAGTATTGCAGTTACACTAAACCAATCTTTGCTTTTTCGGCTACGATCTACAGCTATATTCGCCAACGGATCATCACGACGAGCTTGACTTCGAGTTTTTAGGAAATTCATCTGGTCAGCCTTACATTCTGCAGACGAATGTCTTTGCCAATGGCACTGGAGAACGTGAGCAGCGTATCAATTTATGGTTTGATCCAACCACCGATTACCACACGTATGGTGTGTTATGGAACCGTCGGCAGATTTTGTAAGCGAACAGTTCTCCTATCCTTTCTTTTCATCGTCTTCAAGTAGCGCAAATGAGCATATTGTCGTGAGCAGATTGAATTGGATCATTCAGCTCTTGAAAAGAGTCCCTGACCCTGGCACTTGCATTTCTATCAATGGACGTAGGTTTTTGGTTGACGATCTCCCGATCCGGGTCTTCACGAACAATGAAGATATGGGCATGCCATTTTTAAATCAGCAACCGATGAATATCTTTTCCAGTATTTGGAATGGGGATAAATGGGCAACCCAGGGAGGGAGGGTGAAGATCGATTGGACTCACGCCCCTTTCATCGCTTCATACCAGAACTATAACCTCGATGCATGTATTGCTACTGACGCTTATGCTCCTTGTGCAATGCCATCTGCCAACAAATGGTGGGATCAAGAAGAGTATCAAGCACTCTCAGCTGCACAGCAAGATAAGCTAAGATGGGTGGAAGAGAACTATATGGTGTATAATTACTGCACAGATGTGAAACGGAACCCAACTACTCCATTTGAGTGTACACGCAACTCGGGAGGCTTTCTTGGGCTTGGCAGCCTCCACTGACCTACGTCGACACAAATGGGGTACATCATCAAGCTTGGTTCATAATTCAACCAATGTCGCACAATTCGATTTACGAGCATGTTAAGCCAATATGGGTAAAATGAGCATGGGATGGAAGCCTCTGCCATTGCATCATTCAAAATAATGATCGGGCTCCCTGCCCCTGCTCCCTGCTGCTTGTTACTAAAATTGTGCAGTCGCCTACATTCTACGCTTTTCATTGGATTTGTTGTCTTATGCAGGAAAAAACATTAATTTAAGTAGAGACCAGGTCAAGACGACGTTCTGTGCACAAGAGTTTTGCCGAACAAGGTAGTTGAGTTAGGGATATGAGGTACAATACATTTAGTAGCAGGGACTAAATAGAAGAACCCTCTGCTGGGTAGCTGTGACCAGTACGAGGTTGAGATGTAGAGGTAACGTAAGTGTAATTCCTATGAGAACTAATCAAATAAACGTTGACAAAGCGTGAATAGTCTCTCCGTGCTGTTTTTATACCTTCCTGTAGCATCTCTTCAATCGATCTGGAATTCCTGGTGAGACTTAGCTCACAGACGAAACTTCAGAGCCAACCTCACCACTCAGCTCAAACTTTCGCAACCTTGATCTCCAGTTGCTTCATCTGAAACTTGGGCCTTACCATCGAAACCACCTCAGGATGTAGAGCTGGAGACAACTACACATGAGAGCTTTCAGTGGGAAAAACAGCACCTCTCGCATCAAAACATATCGCTGCTCTCTCAAAACTGGAAGAAACTTAGAGGATCCGTAAATCAGCTCTGTTGTTTCCAGACAAGCATTGTTCACAGTTCCGTTCCTGGAGATGATACAAGGGTGTTGAATTCCATGGCTCCCTAGCATGCTGAGAGAGGACTGTTTCAATTCAAGCTGGATGCGTATCTCCACGATCGTAAGTTGTGGATGTTTCCAATCTGGGTCAGAATGTGACGATGCTTACTAACCACTACGATCTGCAATAGAAGAGGTGAATGTTTGCAGAAGAGGCTTCGACTACATAGTCAGAGGATCCGAGTTTTTGCATTTAGTGCAACATGGCTTTTTTGTTTGTTTGTTTGTTTGTTTGTTTATTTATAAGGTTTGGCTACTATCCATGCATCAACAGACATCCACACACACACACACATTTGTATATACTTGCATATAATTTCCTTGATAAAATGACAGAGTAATGGCCACAAACGATAAAAATTCTAACAGAAAAGAACACTTCATGAGGCAACATCCTGCTGTAAATGATAATGGAGATTAGTTAAGTGAGGTTTGGGTTCTTATTTCTTGTTTCTTACCTTTTGGATTAGCATTGTAAAATTTTTAAATATGTGTTTATCTGCAAATATTAATAAGGAACAAGTAAATAGAATAAATCATATTTACTCGTTTATGGTTGTTCTGATCAATTTTCGTCCCGTTCGTTGCTTCTTATATTTTTATCTACATTGCAAACACCTAAATTTTAAAGAATTTTTTGACTCCACTTTGAAATAGAAGCTTAATTCAAACGTTGATAAAACTTGGATGGTTCTTGTTGTAGAAAGTTTTGGCTAAATATGCATTGATTATTCACAAAAGTAGTATAAACTTTTGTCATTAAGGCTTTTGAATAAAAGAAATCTGATAAAAAAAGATTTAGCCTATACCCATTTTGCTTCTTTTTAAATTATTTCAATATAACCTAAAAAATAAATAAGTAAACAGAAAAAAGAAAAACGTTGGATTAAAAACTGATATCAATTTTCATCCACCAAATTCAAGTTGAAGGAATGTGTGAACCACATTTTCCACACCAAGACTTGGCAATTATTATAATTGTGTACTGTGGTAGCATTATTGAACAATGTATCACATCAAAAAATTAGAACTGCAATTCTTGAGATGCTTAAGAATGAAGTATTAGAACAACGTACAAGACATAGACATCCAAAGATCATATAATTGACAATGATCATGTGATGTAAACAAATGATTACAGCCTTAGACATAATTGTCCTCAAAACATGCTCTTCTATTTTATCTATTTTTAGATTTTCTTGAATTGGTTTGGATTTTTAGTGGATGGGTGGAATGGAAGAATGTGCAAGAAACCATTTACATCACAGCAAAAGATTCAACAACCCTAATAAGCAGCACAAAACTTAAGCAAAGAACCAGGCGTGAGTCGAAGCAAGGCACACATGAAACTCAAATGTCGAAAGTAGAAGATTTACTGGTAACAATCTATGTCACATCTACATACAAAAATTTTAGGAGCCCAGGTAGCTAATGTCTTGTACAACAACACTCGAATGATGTTTTCAAGTTCATGATCTAAAATGAGCTGTGTGAGATATGCATGCAACTCAGAATAAACGATGTTGTCTCGCAAGCCACTGACTCCGGGAGTCTAACATATTTTGTTGAACAATCCATCTAAATATTACTAAAAAGGGAGTGAACTTTTACTAGTGTCAAGAGGACCTCTTAACCTTTTTGTTTGAGAGTGATCTTGTCTCCAAGACTGAGGGCAATGCCCTGCGTCTTACTCCTGATTCGAACATAGCCACTAAGCTTTCCATCTAATTGCTTCTCAATATTCACATTAACTAATGCGTCCTCCCCAAATACGCTCTTAGCATATAGATTTGCAGCCAAGAAGCCACAATCACCTTCCATAGCAGATCTGCGCATCATGTGCACACACCAGCGATGAATCAGACAAGTTACAAAATCAGGTCACTGCATTAATGAAGTTTAAAAGGCAATTTTCACTTAGATTATGAAAACGGCAAACATGCAACAGAAACATATGTTTGCTGAGGAACCAAACAAAAAGAGTTAAGTTCGGGAATAACCGAAATCAAATTCAAGCGAAGGATGTCACAGGACCACAGAGGACACCAATCTAAGAGAAATCTGATGACAAATGAAGGATAGATTACTTACGGTGGAGTGAGACACTTCATGTTGGTGGAATCCACAATATGCTGCAAGAACTCCCGAACGTCTTGAATGGTGGTATTTATTGCTACCTGGAAAAGCATGCTAATACAGTCACCCGCCCAATTCAAGCATTCTTACCTTTTTAAAAAAATCTTTTTAGAGTGGAACTATCTTGAAGTGCGAAGCTAAAATCATATCAAGCAGCCCGTCATAATTGTTCGATTTCAACAAGGCGATGTCAAAGATACGGGGATAAGTATGAAACAAGAGAGAATGAAACTTGAAGCAAAACAAAAGAATCGATAGATACCTTGTTTTCCCACTCAAACTCAGCCCACATGTTGCGAAATGCAACATCAGCACATGAAGCAGGAGAGATGTAGTCCATGATGTCAATGTGAATGTCATTCAGCACCACAACATTACGGTCAAGGACACTGCTTGTCTCGTAAACAATATTTCCAAAAATAATGCCCGTCTCAGTTGATGAAACCTTAATGTTGGCACGTATCTGCTTGCTGGTATTTGGAGCAAGAGCGTAGTTCTGAGGACGCTCTACTAGCTTCAAGTCACCCATAGTTGCAAGCTCTAGACAGAGATTTTGAAGAGTCTCTGTTGTCCGGTTGAGAATGGTCACATCCAAGACTATGTCATATTGATGAACCGTAACATAGGCCTCTGCATACACTGGATCGCTGAAACCTGTCAATTGAAGGACCTTGTTCAACTTTTTGGAGTCCCCAACTTTTGAAACCTCTCCCGTAGCTCGTATGAGGTCATCTTGCACTTGATCCTCCAGCTCCATTTGACTCATGCCCTGATTGAGTAGCAAGTCAGAAAATGCTTAGGATTCTTAATGAGGAGGCTAAATTCAGCTCCGATATTTATCTTCCAACCAGGACCAGAGGTTTTATACTAGACACATGCTGATACAACTGAGTATGAAAAAAAGCGGAAATAAACACGAACTGTGACCACGAGTTAGATCACCATAAAACTCTTCGTTTCACTAAATGCATGAGCTTCGTTTTCTACTCTCCAATTTGCTACCATTTGACTTAACACAGTAGGACCCATGGAGTATCCTAGGTTCAACTTCTCAAAGATGAATGACAGTGTATTATAACAAACCTTGCTTCTCTTTAGGTGATAGAAATCAATCAAATCGTCAGGCTGAGCGTATGAATCCTGTGCTTTAGCCTTCTTCTCCTCCATTTCCCTTGAGAGCTTATCTTTTATCATCATAGCGAAGCTTTGCCGACAGTTCTTCAACCATACCGTCTTCATCAATTGGTCTTTGTAGGAAAGAACTCTGATGCACAAAGTGATCCGATCGTAGGCATCGTCATCAATTGGATGAGATAGAGCAGAAGACTGGCCGAGTCTGAGCATCGAAACCATGTACAGAAGAATCTCAGCTTCAGCCTTATTCACAGCCTCTTTATTGTTCTCGATTTCTTCATAACGAAGCATCAGCTTCGTAAGAGTGCTTGCCACCACCGCTCCGAGAAAGAAGTCTCCCATAAGAAGAGTCGACCGCAGATTCACAGAGGAACCTACGACGGCGGACGTGAAAGGAGCTACAGAAGCAGCTGCAGCACTTTGGGTTGCGTATGTACCATCGGCAAGAATTGCAGGTCGCTTAGAAGAAGCCGTAGAAGCATACTGTGGTGGAGCGGCTTTGGGAGTTGAGGGTCCCTTGCTGACGGCTGTGTCCACGACTTCCCCTTCCTCTGATTCAGTGTAGAATGGAAGCTCCCCAAGCGATTGCTTGATAACAGATATACCTGCTTCTACTTCACTTACAGTCAGAGAGTACTCCCCAATGATCCAAAGCGCACATGTCGCCACTCGAGAGGAACGAATCTGATAGAATGTGTCCACCAACCTGGCCATAATTGACTCGCGCAAGTTGGAGTTCGTTTGAATAATTTCCCGCACGAAGCACACAACGTCGATCGCCGATGCCACGTTAGAATCTCCCAGGAAATCCATCAACAAATGAACCACCGTGCTGGCAACTTCGGGGAATTTTAAGGCACATGAGTGTATGGCCTGCACAAGCATTTGCCTGTACTCGCCGTTCTTCTCCAGCTCAGCGTTCTGTGTCTTCACAACCTCTTTCTTCAAGGACATCACCACCTCGTCAATGTTGCGAAGCGTAGTGAGGTCCATTGCAATGTCGAGAGTCTTCTTGCGGATATCCAAATTGGGGCTTGAAAGAGCCCGCAGAACGTCCATTATCACCTCCACCATGATCTCTCGGTAGGAGGCTTTGAGCTCCTGGAGACGATCCAGAACGATCAACTTCACATTGTTGTCGCTCTGCGTTTGAAGCAACTGGCAGTACGTGTTAGCAGCGGCGCGAATAGCTGTAGGGGCAGAGGAGAGGGACACGAGAGTCCCCGCACTCTCATACATCACCGCCGTATGCTGGGAGCTCAACAGCGACACTATAATCTTAATGTACTTCCCCTTCATTGCTGGATTTGTTCGGCAGACCTTCCGGATGAGCTCAAGCACTACCATCTGAAGCGTGTCCCCCCAAGTCGCCACACTGTCCAAGTGACTGAGAAGGTAATTCACCGCCCTCTCTTGCGCATGGTTGAAAAGCATGAGGAATGCGTTACGCTTGGCAGATAGATCCTGTTCTTGATGAAGGACCTTCTCAATATATTCCGCCGCATCAGGTATGAGTTGCTCCCCTTGGGGCAGCTTACAGATGGCATTTATCGCAAGGATAGCATTCCTCCTCACAAATGCATGGCGATGCTCAAGGTTAGCAAGCACCGAAGGAATCAGAGGCTCGATTAGCTCTGCCTCCATAAGTCTCGATAGAAACCGTAATGTCACCCCCCGGATATACTCATTAGGGTGTTGCAGATTATTTCGGAGGTTCTGACAGATGAGGATCATTTCGGGAAGAACCTTCCCCCGTGAGTCTGTCTTATCAATGATTTCTAAATAGAGTAACAGGAGCTTCTGTATAGTGTGGTCCTCAGAGGGGAGTACATACCGCACAATGGTGATGAAGAGGGTGGGGATAGTTTCACCGTTGAGTAGCAACATAATGGCCTTCTTCATGGCGTCCACTTTAGCCTCAACGTCATGCCCTTCCAGATGCTCCTTGATTTCACTCGAAAGAGAGGGAGTCCCTTTGTCGAAATGCACTAATAACGTGCACGTCTTCTCCATGGTTGCCATCGTTTAAACTCCCTGAACCCACACGATAAGATCTCGTCAATTAAAGAACAAATAAAGGGCCCTTCGCCGTAGAAAGATACAAGACACAATTTTCTAGATCATTCAGAAATAGCGTGGAGGGCAATGTATCAGAAGTGGTCTACTCTAGACGCTAAATCCTTAGTTCAACTCCACCCATTGTTCAATACACGATCCAGGTGCATAACCCATTCGAGAAGAAATTCATTCAAAATCGACACAACCGATTACGCACACAACCCTCTCTACTCGTAACTAACCCCAACAAGCAGAACTCCCAGAACTATGAGCTTAAAAGAACACAATACCGAAATGTAAACTCAACCCAATGCTGTATTACTTTTTCCAGGCCCTACAAACTCAACATCCTGCTCCACAAGAGATCCTAAACTGGCACGCGCCAACATGCCCACACAAAAGCTCTGCCCGAACAGCGCTGCAAAGCCTCCATACCTTGAGAGCAGTCTTCTCACCTCGCCCCCCTCGCAATGAACTCTGTCAACGTGCCTCTGCCTCTGACACCTTCAACGATGACTTTGATACAGAGGTGTGGACTCATAGCATGGTTGATTGTGCTCGACCCAAAATGCAAGGCCCAATGAGAATCGGGACAGAAGGAAAGAGCTGGAGAATCATTGTGCCCTGCGAGCACCGGAGCTTCAACTAAGTCAGGGCATGGTACCTTTTAGGTTATTGAGTTTACTTTTAGAAAGGCTTCTGATGTTGATCAAATCCACAGGCTTTATAACGCACAGTTACTCCATTCTGCTTAGGCCATGAAGGTTTAGAGTTGGTTTGAAAAATACAAAGCACATACGAGTATTCTCCTAGCTTTAGGACCGTATCAAACCTTTTTTTTAGGGTGATTAAGAATCATACATGATGTGTTGAAAAATATGTATTAAATTTAATGTGAAAGCTCGGGAATCAATCCCTAGTTCTCTGCCTTCAGGAGGAATGAAATTTACACCTAATCAAACTTTAATTAGCCTCAATTCTTGTGGTACAGTAATACACTAGTTTTCGAAGTTGAGCCAAATAATTGAGTATTCCTGCGTAGAGTTTGAAAGGGAAGTTGGGTTATTGGTTGAAGGAAAATGATTGTACAGGTCACAGCGATGTCAAATTCTGCACAGAAAACTCAAACACGACTGGTTCGACAACCAGGAACTGAAATCCACAGCAACACGCCGTGTCTGGTGTGGACGTCGTGGTCATGTGTGACCGTTCCAGAGAACTCGAGGGGACGATGCGAAAGTGATTTTCTACTAACTGAGTTCAAATAAGTTTGACGCATACACGTCGCAAACTAAGGGGGCCGAGCAGATTAAATACGTGTAAGTTCCCTGTTTGATCATACTATAGGGATGGACTCGAGCATTCGGCAACTCGATGTAATGGTCTTCACCCAGCTATTGACAAAACTGCAACGAAAATTGCATTGAAGTGTACAGAACTAGTAGATCTCCGACATATAAATAAGTGTAGATTGCTGAGTAATGAGAGCAACTGGCCATTGAGGATAGGTAAGCATGATTTCCTGTTTGTTTAAGAAAGAGATGCAGCGCTTCCAGTAGAGCCCCAGCAGGATAAATGGCTACAATCGACAAGTGCACTTTCATGAAAGTCAAGCATGGATTACTAAGCTTGCATTTACTGATCCAGAACGATGGCATCCACTCACTACAGTAGTGATTATAGGGCCTCTGTAAAGACATAGAATTTCAAAAAACTGGGGCCGATTCCCGTTCTAATGAAACACAGTCAAGAATTCTCCGGGCTCCAATTTTAAGTGCGTCCCTGCAAGAATTGGGCGACGGGGCTAGGATGAGCGCGTTGGGCTTCTTGAAGTCTCTTCATTTCCTCTGGATCTGAATACACAAGGCACAACCTCAGCTTCTTGAAGTAGCTTAAAAATGAGCCGAATCATCTCTGCAACCAAAATGTCAACTGCATCTCAAATTCAAATAACATAAAGATCACTGACCTATGCTGTCCATCAACTTCGGCAGGAGGAACACACAGATGACCATGAAACCTATCATCAACCCCATGGGGCTCTTCAGCAACCCCAGCAAGGAGAAAGGTTCTCGTATCTGCAAAGACCAGAAAAATGATCACATTGATTGTTCAATGCATGGTACTCCCAAAATGATGCGACTGCATGTTCATTATAGAAACAGACTAATGACTTGCCTCATAATAGTTCTCCTCACGTAAAGGTTCTAGAACCAGTCCATCAAGTGTGCGGCGAGGGCCTTCCACATAGCTTGCACGTATTTGCCCTGGCATTCTAGAACTCACATCCACTCTCACCTGCAAAAAACCGCTGGAGCGATTAATAATTGCTACACTGCAAGTCAGCCCGGTAATCAATAGTGAAATCCTCCAGTCCGAACGCATCAGAAGCATTGCTTGAAGAGGGTAATGAACTCAATTTGTAATACAAAGATTTAACATACGACACAAAAACACTTCTTGAAAAAGGTGACTTTCTACAGTTTGCTTACCGGTGGAAAAAAGTAGCCAAGCGCTGTAACTTCCAAGAGATGAGTACCAGGTGGCACACCTTCGCTGTTATCGAACCAGTCAAGGCCCTCAACGTCAAGAGTGACAGAATTCCTTACTACCCGAGCAAACCTATACACCACTGCAGCTATAAAAGGATGCTGGCTTCAAATAAACTTAGAGCTGCAAAGATGCACTCCTTCCTAAAACCTGTAACAATTCTTTGGCCTACCATTTCATATTATGCATATATATATATATATATATATATATATATATATATATGCGAAAAAACTAGAGCAGCTTAATGTGTACAAGTATGTGAACAAGTCTACCACCCCATGTGACACAATGAATCTAATACAATTCCCACACGACAAACAACAAACCCAATCAACTCTCTTCAACAAACTCATTAAAGATCACATGAAAAATATTAGAAGGATACAAGACGAATGAGCCGTCGGTTCTTAGAAATGAAACTTGTTCACCACCATCAAAGACCACTTTGATGTTAGCTACCTTGCCGATGCTTTTTCCTCTCAAACCTGCGCACAAACACATTTCCCAATAAATGAAATCATCATATAGCTAGATTAATATTTTAAATTATCACATAGTTGTACATTCAAAACTAATAATGGTTAAACAGGCAAGAAGAAGAGCGCACTTATGATCCAACAAAGAATCTCTAAAGTAAAGAGATCAAAAAGATGTCGCTAAGGTGTATTAATCGACCCTTACTTTCCAATTTCACCTGTCCTTCCACAGCATAGAGATCATCTCCACTGCATACAACCCTCTTGGTCAGTTACTTAAGGGGTCCGATCAAGAAATTCATAAACACATGCCAGTAAACTAGACAAGTCTGGTACATGTAAAAGTTTGGAGTAACGTAGGATCTACACGTAGAGAGAGAGAGAGAGAGAGAGAGAGAGAGAGAGAGAGAGAGAGATCCTTACAACTGCATACAGCAGAGAGAAACCAACCAATCATAAGCAACATTTTAAAAACATTCAGATTCACGTATCTCATACCCATTCCACTTCCTGATCAAATGAAACTGATTACAACACCGACGCAAAAGCGGCAATAAGGACGTTACAGTTACGCGCCGCTCCTATGCAATACAAGGGACTGCAAGGGTGCCAATTCGCATTCATGTAACAAATTCTCAACTTCTCTCAAATTTTATTGTACTTCACCGTCTACCGGATTTCGCGTTAACACTGATCCAAAAATAACATGACGGACGAATTCAGAGAATGCACTTCAACGCGGTTGAAGTGCTTTGCGACAAATATTTGAAACCCTAAATATTTCCTTGTACATGAATCTCAGAAACCCAAAATAATTACAAAAAGAGTATTGTTATGTAGATGATATGCGACCTAACAAACAAATAATCCCGAAAAACATACCCTCCCTTTCCGATTAGGAAAGTCTGGATCAAACACAAACACAAAAGATGGAAAAAGGGAAACCTGGAGTAAGCGGTAGATGCCACGAAGCATCCGCAGAGGACACAGAACAGAACCAGATGCCCCGAGAAACAGAAAATGGGTTTGAGTAGGACCGCCATAGCCACGAGATGATATCAAAAACCCCAACAAACTCTTCAATCGACACAGAGCAGTCTCTTTCTTCTGCGTTGTCGGAGCAGCTCGCCGTCGATGCGAGGAAGTAGCAGTTCCCATGCTGGGGACATAGGGGTAATTGTTCCCGATGCTTTGCTCGGCTATAAAAGCTCGTTTCACACCGTTTACCGGCTGATGCATTTGTTGAGTTTTGGTCTTGTTTGTTTTGGATAAAATGTTTAGTTTGTAGGTAAGCAAATGTGCTGAACATGTTCATTGGCCATATGTGTATTGGGAAAGAAAAAAAATATGGTAATATTGTAAGGGAGAAGATAGAGTTCCAAATTTACATAATTAAAAGATAGGAAAATAAAAATTAAAATAGTGTTGTCAATTTTTTAGAAACATTTTTGAAACATAAAATTTAGAAGAAGCCTTGAAAAATGGCTAATATTAAGGGAAATTGGTTAAAATAATAGAAGAAGAATGTATCTTTTTTAATTCTTTATTTTTATTTTATTTTTAGATTTATTATTATTATGGTTGTAATAAAATTTTAAATCTATAAATCTTTGACATAATCAAAGACTTATAATCTAAAGACTTTTAAGATTTTTTATGGTCTTTTTAAAGTTTCTATATAAAATTTTTATGGCTTCAAAGCTATTCTATAACTTTTTATAACTTTTAGGACTTGTTTGCCATATAAAAGGAAAGAAGCAAAATAAGAGATACTTTAGTCTTGCTAAGTCAATTTTTTTTAGCAATCCAAATATATTCTTATTTTTAGACTTATATCTAGTTTTGTTTGTAATGTACTTTTTAATCTTATGATTTATAATTCTTATTTTTTAAAATAAATTTATATTATTTATTTAAGTATATATTTGATTATATATATATATATATACTTAAAAAAATAATTATCATTTTTTTTTAGAATATATTTTTGAATCTTAAATGTTATTAAATATCTATTTTTAGTTTCAAACCTTATCTTATAATAATTCTCTTGAAGAAGATGTAATCTCTTCTTCTTAAAAGATATCATTCTATTATACAAGTTGTAGATTGCAAAATATTTGCAAAAAGTTTCATTATGAAAAAATAGTATAAATAAAAAATATTAATAATAAATACTATTGTTGTAAAAAAATGACAAAAGAGAATCAAAAACTACTTTAAAAGTTAGTAATATGATTCAAAAAATAAAATTTTAATAGAAATAATCAATATATTGATTTGAATCAAATATAATAATCTATTAACAATAAATAAAATTCCTATCTCAACTTTTAGTTCCTTCAAAAAAACCACCTCCAAACTCAACCATCAATATAAATGTTATCTTGTCAAGGACATGAATCTCGAAGAAAGACAATCCTCAATATATTCTTATGTCATTGAAGAGAACAAGAAAGTCACTCAAAAGGTGATGTAATATCAAACTAGTATGGCTATTGCTAAAAAACAAAAAGACTAGAAAGTCTTAGAACAAGAGTTAGGACTAGAAAAGAGTTGACAAGAGTGAAGAAGGCTTCTCTTGCCTCCTTATATACTTGTACCTAGGAGCTACATGGTGATGTCCTATAGGACCTCCAAAACATGTTGACTTTGGTAGCCACATGTCTTAACTTGCAAGACAAGTTATCTATGTACAGGCCACATAGTTAGCTTATTCCATAAGCTACTACACAGAGTTAACTTGTTCCATAAGCTACCAACACTTTGTTAGCTTGTTGGCCAAGTTTCTAACCTAAAAATACATCTAAAATCAAAACCACATTTATGAAGCTTTTAAAAAGCTTCTCTAGAAAACTTTATGAAATTAATCTATATTTACCTATTTCTACCTAATCATATAAGTAACTATTGAGATAAATGTATATGTTCGTAACATATCCATAGATTTCTTTCAACAAAATGACATCCAAGTATAAAATTTTGTAACTACTTATTGCCTTTTAAGATTAAAAAATAGCAACTAAACACATAATTTTTAATTGCTTATATGTTTTTAAATTTTTGTATAAAAATAATTAAATAATTAATTAAATAAAAATAATAGAAAAATAAACTTTTAAATTCTCATATTATTTTTTATCTTAATTGATAATTTAATTATAAAAAAAATAATAAATATATATATATATATATGTTTTATATTTTTTTTTTATAAAATCCAAGTATCAAAACTTGGATTAATCAAGCTCAATACTTTCTTTCTCTCAATTAAGTGGGAATATTGAAAAATTCAAGACTTGTCAAATTTTTTGGTTTAGATGAATAAGAATTAGAAACATTCATCTACAAGGATATAATTTAATGATAGATTCCAATCACCCACTTTCTTGAAAAGTCCAAATAAAATAAGCTATCAATTCATATATATACTTTTATTACATGGAAGGTTTTTAAAATAAAATATAAATTGAATGTATGTACATATATGAGAAGTTTTTAAAGCCACATCCAAAATTTGTTAAAGCCACATTTTGTTTTGCCATCTTATAAATGATTCCATCCAACTTCCATCTCATGTTCCTTGTTCTTTTATTTCTAGCGTCTCTTCCTTCCATCCCTCATTTCTAAGACCTTCATTCTCACAGATATATATTTACTATAATTATTATTTAGATAATATGCATAGGTAAAAATAGATAAAAATAGATTAATTTCTTAATATCTTATAAGAAAGCTTTTTAGAAGTTTTATAGATGCTACTTTGACTTTACATGTATTTATGGTTGATTAGTAGGTTAGAAACTTGATCAAATTTGACAAAAAATTTAATAATTAGAAACATATAAATTATCAAAATTTATTTAAAAGAATTTTTATAAATAAAATATGATTTTAAATTTTATATTAATTTTATATTAATTTTATTTTAATTTATCAATATTTTTTATTCTTTTATTTTTAATTTATCTATTACAAATATACATATTTATTCTAATATTTACCTATATGATTAAATAGAAGTATGTAAAAGTAGGTTTATTTCATAATACCTTCTAAAAAAACTTTCTAAAAGCTTCATAGATGCTGCTTTGACTTTATATATGTTTGTAATTGATTGATAGATTAGAAACTTGGTCAACTAGTTAATGATGTGTTGGCAGCTTATAGAAAAAGTTAATTATGTGGCCCACATATATAAAACTTGTCTTGCAAGTTAAGATATGTGTCTTGTAAAGTCAACATATTTTGAAGGTCCTATAAGTTTCTGCCATGTAGTTCCTAGTTAAGAGTATATATAGAAGCAAAAGTAAAGCCTTCTTCACTCATGTCAACGCCTTTCTAGTCTTTTGTCTTGTTTCAAGACTTTCTAGTATTTTTATCTTTGAAAATAACAATTCTAATTTAATACTATATCATATTTAAATGACTTTCTAGTTCTTTTGAGTGACACAAGAGTGTATTGAGGATTTCTTTCTTTGAGCTTCATGTCCTTGATAGTTTGACAAGAATGCTAATTCATTGTTCTTGTCTTGTTTTAGAAGTGAGTGGATTATCCTACTTCTATTGTTGTATTTTGAAGGGTGTGGATTTTCCACCTTTGAACAAATTGTTTAGTTTTTTTAACATTGATATCTTCTTTAAAGAAAGCAGATTATCTTTTTTTGTGGAAATTTTTATTTGATATTAAAAATTATGGATTATCTTCTTCTAATTTGACTTTTAGATTTATTAAGTTATTTGAAAGAAAAAAAAACATCATGGATGCTACACTTGGTAGAAATGAAAATAGATTTGTAACTATTGCCGATCTTCAAAAACTTGTTAATACTCTTAGGATAGAAATTTTACACATCATAAGTACCAACCATAGAAATACTAATCTTATACCTATAAAAGAAGTTCAGAATCTACATGAAGAAGTTGTATAGTTGAAGGAAGAAAATAAATCAACTTCACAACTAAATCCAAGAAGTTTTAATTCTATAAGTACAACAAGGACAAGAATTACTATGCTTGAGAAGTTTAATGGAATAAGATAAATTTTTTGAGGATTTTTACAACAAATCAAGTTCTATTTAAGGTTGCATGTCTTCTAATACCTTGATGGATTTACTCGAGTTAGATTTATAGATGTACAGCTATCTGAAAGTGCTCTCTTTTAATTTGCACCTTTAATGAAAAAAGATTCATGACTCTTTTATAATTTGAATTCATTTTTAGAAGTGTTTATGGCCACATTTGAAAAAGATCAAGTAATTACTTATAGAAAGAGTAGCAGAAACTAAGCTTTTATCTTTACAACAAAAATTATAATTAACCACTATAAATGCTACTGAATTCCAAAACCTTACTTGCAATGTGGATTGGAAAAAAAAAAAACTCTCATCAATCAATTTCAATATGGATTGAAGTATAATGTCAAAAGCAAAATCTTTAGGACAATTTATTGCTTAAGCCTTTCTATGAAATAATTGATTATTTGAAAGGCATAAAAGACAAAGACTTGATTGAAGATGAACAAGCCAAATAATAATGGCAGCTTCCAAGTTTTTAGAAACTTATTTATTAAGACTGAAACTAATATAAATTGATACAATGTAATTAAAATGTCTCATTCAGCAAGAAAAGACTCGATGTTATTAAGAGGGTTTATGCTTATAGTATGGAAAAGCTAATTAAATTGCTCAACATTATTCAAAAAACCAACGCAATTACAAAATAAGAAGATTGATTGTTAAAGAAGATAATGTATCAAAAAAAAAGTTTTTCTAGCTACAATAAGGATAATGAGGCTCGAATCATGTGCAACACCTAATAAAGATTCTATTCTCTCCTCACATTACTTACCTTGTTTTATAATAGATATTTATTTAGGACCTAAAAATCGCAAAGTCTTTATATTATTAGATTTAGGAGCCTCAACTTGTTTTAAAGACAAAGATTTTATTAAGAAACAAGAAATATTTTTAGTCAAAAAAACTAAACGTGTACATGTAGAAGTCATAGACAATTGTTTATTGTCTTTTAAAGATATTACTTATGAAACTATTTATTTAGATGTAGCAGTTAAAGATCATAATAGTATAATAATATTTAATATAATAATATTTCTTTCTAATCCAATTATTTAGGATTATTGTGGTTAG